AGCAGACTGGGAGACCTGGAGGCCTTCCCAGCACGGTCTGAGCCATGTGGTTGAAGGGAAGGACCGGCGCGGGTCTCCTGCTCTCCCTCACCTGCTCGTGGGCTGAGTTCCCAGGGCTGATGCAGATTTTTCCTAATGGTTGGCACAGCTATGTCTGCATTTTTTCCTTGTAACTTCACAGGCCCTCCATGGACTAATCTCCAGCTTTTAATTTCTTGTCATGGCTTGCTGCATTTTCTTTCAGTAAATGTTTTCAAATGATTTCGTGAAGTCATGTTTTTGGCTCATTCCAGCTGCTGGTTTTGGCTGCGATCTGCTGAGAGGGTTAGCTGAGGTCAGCAAGAGCCTCGCTTGAGTTTGCTCCTCGGCAAACTGGTGTAGCCTAAAGGAACCCAGTCTGAGGATGCTTCTAAGGGGCTCTTTACACCGGGAATGGGATAATTCCCCATGGTAGGATGTGATCACAGACTGAGGGCTTGACGGCCTGGTTCAGGTTTAAGATTGATAGTCTTGCTATTAGTTTTGCTGGGAGGCATCTTGGATTTGGGTGATTACATGTTTCATTTTGCTCAGGAAAATCTCTGGTTTGCTTTGTTGTTGTTATTTGTAAATTTTTTCTCTGTGTTCCTTCACTGAGCTGTGTGCCAGAGGTTGAGATTCATGCTGGATTCTGGATTATCATGGAAAATTAGAGATACTCAATAAACATTAGGAGATGACGTTTTGCCACGAAAAACTTTCTGCTGAACATCTTCTCTCATCACTTGCAAAAACATTGGAGGGTTGTACTTGGAAGGACATTTAGGGCTATCCAACCTGTGAAGCAAGAGTCAAACTCTGGCCTTCCTGTGGATGCCAGGAATAGCCAACACTTTGTAAGACATTTTCCAGCTGTTTCTGAATGCAGCCGAAGGGATCAGGTGAAAAATTAGCTGCACTTCCGAAAACCTTCCCCCTGCGCAGTCTGCATGTGTGCCGAGGGCAGCGTCTGTGTGCTCTGGGCACTCAGCTTTACCCCTCCTGCTGCAGAAGTGCTTCTTATACGGTCAGAGACATGGGTATGGGCTCCATCTTATTTCAGAGATGAAGGCTGAGCTTGTAATTAAGTTCCTCAGAAATCCCAAGTTCTTTGTTTGCTTTGCCATCAGATAGCAGAGGCGGCATGAGCTACCCTATTGCAGCAGAGAAATGTCAGTACTGCCTAAGGCAAAGAGAGAGAAAGAGAAGGATTCATGGGCTTTTGAGCCTTTGAGGGGTCATTATAGTCTTTTGGTTTTTCCTGACATACTGGACAACACAAACTAAAACTTCATCCATTTCTTTGTCAGTGCAACAATTTCTGGTGACTTCAAATAGTGTTTGAGGGGGTTAGTTATTCATCTTAGTGGAAACTGGCTTCAAAAATTTCATCCTTTAATTTTATATACCTCTTACAGTAAGGCAGGTAACTGTTCCAGTGCAAAACATCAGTACTGTCTCTGTTGGAGTCACCGTTTGCACGCCTGCTTTTCAGCCCAGTTGCCCCATAAAGACTGGAGCTGCGTCCCAGAGAAAACACCCCACCTTCACCAGGCTGTGATGTCCCTGCTGCCTCCAAAATTCACCAGGAGATTTTATGTAAAGGAGCAGCAGCAATGGCCAATCTCCTGTTTTTCTGTCACAGCCCCCAGGTGCGGAGGCGTGTGTACATCCACAGGCTGAGTAACCCGCCGGGATGCTGTGGCTGCCCAGAATACGGGACCGTATTTCATGTGCCACATGGTGCCATTCAAAGGCAACATTTTCAGTGCCGGTTCCCGTGCACAGATGCAATTGAGAGGTCTCAGCACAGCGTACAATAAGTTTATCAGGGATGTAAGTTAATGATAAGAGACCGGCTGTCCTTTGAAATTATATCCCACCCTTTTGCTGAAGCAGACTAGTATGAGTTTGACTGCCATGAAAGGGAGGCCTCTTCACGCTGACTTGATACTCTTTGTAGAGTGCATGATTTATATTCACTTTCAAGGTCCTACTAGCCTGTGTTAGGTGCTTGCAGTATCTGGGAAACAAGCTTAGGGAAACGTGTCGAGAGTGGTTTATGCTGCTGGTGGGTCACTCCAGCCCTTGATACCTTTGTGCTTCAAAGCCCTGTTTTTACAGAGCAAGAGAGGCAGCAGCACTGAGCTCATGCCTGACAGCTGGGGAAGGTGCTGTTTGATCGGGTGTCCCATAGGTCAGCTCACTCCTCTTGGAGGCAAGGATTAATTCGGAGGGGTTTTGTGGCAGCCCAGCATTGCTCTCAGCAGCCAGCCAGGGGAACGTGTTCCAGCAGTGGGTGAATTTGAAGCCTTCGCTCTCCTCCTGCCTCCTTTGGGCACCCAGTGCGGGGTAGATGGTGCCTAGAGTTACCCAACTGAGGTTTCTCAATCTGCGGGTCCAATGCTCAAATCGGAGCTGGCGGGTCGAATTTGAACAGTCATTTTGTTTTGAATGTTATGTTTTGCTTTTTTCAGAGCTCAAAAAAGCCCACCTCAAGGGATGGCCCTTGCCTAATCCTCATTGTCCTAACAAAAAGGGTGTTTTAAGCAGCCAGGAATGCATTTACGTTGGCTCTCAGCATTGTTGCATTGGATGCCTTCGCTTGGTGCAATTTTGGCATCATGTGGAATAAAGCAAGCAAATAGGAATGTAAACATACTTTTATATCCCAGAGCTCTGAACTGGTCTGGGAATGGGTGGTCCAGTTTAGGTTTTGGTCTTATATGGTTGAGCAAGAATAGGAACCCAAGCAAAGCATGTTACCAGCCCTTTTCAGAGATTATTTGCTTTCATGGTTTTTTATTTTCCTCTCCACATTTAGCAGAAGCTTCCTGGCGTAATGGAGGCGGTGGTGGGTCAGGAGCCAGGAGCCATGGGACTTACTCCCAGTTCTTCTCTCCTTTTTGTCTTGTCTTTTTGGACTGTTTTGGTCTATACCACTACCAGCATCAGTGAGCTCTGATCTTGTTTGAGCTTTCTAGGTGTTCCAGCAATGCAAATAAGAGCTAGTGAGGTGCAGATATTCATCTGTGGGGACAAAGAAGTTGAGCAGGGAATTTCTAGAGAAAGACAGGGCTGCCAGGAGATTTCTGGCCTGTTTTGCAAACCAAAGAAGTTTAGTTCAAGACTTGCAAAGGCTTGTTTGAACCAGGTCTCTGAGAGATTTTGGCTTGACCCATTTCTTGTTTGGAAACCAAGCTGTTGTCTGGGGATCGGTATCCCACAGAAGTTTTGGGGTAGAGTCTCTTGGGAAACAAATTGTGTTTGGGTTCTGCTGGTAGAAAGGGAGAAGAACAGGTTGAAAGGGTTGGGGAGACAGAGAAGTTCTGCTTGTCCTTGGGCCTTGCCCTGGAAATGCTGCATAACTGAGGGCTGAAGAGTCCAGAGAAGCATGGGAAAGACCCCAGCTGCCGAGAGCCATGTCAGCTTTGCTCCTCTCCTGCTGACTGCTCTTACAAATCTGGATGCACTCAGCAGCCCTCTCTACTGATGTTTTGGGTGGAATGCTGAAAAACAGTTCTGCCGTAGGGAATCCCATGGCAGCACACGTCCTCAAAGGGCCTAGGAGGTCAGGCTGGAGCTGGGGTTTTTGTGCTAATGTCAGCAGAGTCTGGAGTCCTGCAAGGTCTCAGCTGCAGATGCCCCATCTACTTTGGCTCTGAAGCCCCCTCAGGATGGGGTATTGAGGAAAATTCTAAAATAAATCTGGCAGTTGTCTGTCTTCTCCCTGTCTTCTCTCTAAGTAGGGAATAACTAAACCTTTTATCTGCTAGTCCTAGGAGAATTTGTACCTTCTGAAAAGCTCCTACAGTCAGAATGAAGTTGTTCTCTCGCTGCACCTCCCCTTCTTTTCATTTTCCCATTGCCGAGATGCAGCAGACTTGGTCATTCCTGAAACAGTGACCGATTGTCTGGTTTGGCTGGTTCAGCTATTTGCTAAACATAATGCTCTTTCATCTTCGAGGAAATCGTCTGGACACCTCCACCAGAGTGAAGCTTGCTTTATGCTGCTGTTTCAATAGGCAAATAAAAGCGGCTATTTTCCCAGTTTAAACATAACCTGATTTCTCTAATGAATTAGATGTACTTGAGGGGAGGGGAAAGTTTTTACTGAATTTTTAAGAACTATAATGCTAAATTAACAAGCCAACTAGCTCTCTTCCTGCCTGGGGAAAGGATTTCCCTTCTCCCCCAATATTTCCCTTCCCCTTAAGAAATATCCACAGCACTCACACTTCATCATTCTTGTCGGGACTTAAAGGGCACCCGCCGGGGCCCTCTCACGCTGCGTGCATGGTGTACGGCTTTTCTCATTGCTCCCTGGCAAATCAGGGCACTTTGAGGTTTGAGATTTCTTTTCACTGGTGGCAGAGTAAAAATGTTCCAAAAAGAAATCCTCTTTTGGAGTTTCACCACTGAGAGGGGAGATGGTCACCTGTCTGCTCTCATCTGCTCAGGGTTTGAGGGGTTCTAAAAGCCAGCGCCTTGCTCATTTTCCTCTGTTTCCTGAGATGACAGGAAGGAAAGCGTAGGCTTCTGGCTGCGCTTCAGCAGGCTGAGGTTTAGGAAAAAGACACAGCTCAGGACTGACTCCAGTCCAAAGCCTGGCTGGCTGGTGAGCAGCGTTTGAGAGTGAGCTTGTATTCCTGAGAAATTAATACAGAAATAAATAACCACCAAAACCACTGTGCAACATTTATAATGTTGCAAACAATGCAATTCAACGTTCTTTTCTTATTGTGGTAACCAAGGATTTGACCAAAAGAAAAGGGACCAAGGAGAAATACACCCTGACTTCTTCCTCTGGAGAATGAGTCAAGTTCCTTGCATGCGGTTCCAGTACAATGAAATTGAGAAGTCTGGCCAGCAACTGAGTTCAACAGGAAAGCTGAGGACAAGCTTTTGTGCGACTGCTAATAGGTCCCTCTCCCGTGGCCCTGCCGGATGGCAGGAAACAAACAGCCCTTTTTGTTTTGCAGTTCATGACGAAGAACCCCAACATGCGGCTGGGCAGCCTGGGACTGGGCGGCGAGAGCGCGATTCTGCGGCACCCCTACTTCAAAGATGCCTGCTTAACCAGCGTCAGATGGAGCCACCGTTCAGGCCCCGAATTGTACGTGGGAAGGAGGGGTGGTGGGGGAAAGGGATCCCTGGTTTTTTTCCCTCTTCTGGGCTCTGTAAGCAGGTTTATTCCCATGAGACAGAGTGAAGAAAGGGCAACCTTGACACCCTGGCCCAGGAGCTGGGAGGTGAGGTCTCTGGTCTTGGCTTGGGTTCTGGTTGGCCACTTGATGCTGTACAGGTCGCTTTTCCCCTCCATGCTGGATTTTCAGATTTTCAAAGGCAGCTCAGCCAAAAGATGCAGGTTAGTAAAAGCAGCTGCAGCAGATTAGGCACCTAACTACCCTTTGCCTTGCCCCAAATATAAAACAGGGTAAGTAATCCTCATCCTGCCCACTCCACTTACCCCTTCACAACTGGGCTGTCTCTCTTGTCTCTCTGTCTGTACAGCACCCAGCACAGTGTTCCCTGCCTAGGCCATTGTCAGCTGAGTGGTTCAAATGGCAGACAGGCTGCAGAGCACACAGTGCTGCCCCTTTTCCCAGTGATGCCACACAGCCGTAAGGATGCTCTGTGGTAGAAGAGTGCTGCTCTCCATGGAGAGCCTTTCCAAGGTTGTCTCTGTGGCTTCCTTGCCTTTGAAATTGTCACTGGAGTGGCTTTGTCTCGTGCTGTGGTCACTCTGCAAGCCCGTAGCGGCAATGGTCCACCCAGTCCTGCTCCATGAAGATTGCTGGGTGCAGGATCAGGCACTCGGGGGAGCTGTGGCAGCTCAAGATCAGGCTCTTGAGTTGTTCCTTGACCTGAATCAAAGGCTAAGGGAGTCTCCTCAGTCCGCCATGAGCTGGACAGGATCTGGGAACGTTAGACTTCAAGGTCAATAAAACATTTTGTTCTGAATGCAGGAAAAACACACGCCTTGTCAAAATGTGCCACAAACCCAGTTTGTGTGTGTGCATTGTAAACAGTCCCACTTTGTGGCACACAGCAAGGAATCCAGCAAGCCATTTGTCTTCCCACGGCCCAGTAATTCATTATCATGCAAGTTTAATGGCTCACACATAGAGGAGTGTACCCCCCCCGCTTCCAAAACCCAGCTGAGACACTCTGCAGATAAGGAGGGACTGTGTGGAGTCAGCTAATTGGAAACACGGCTGATAACGGCTTCGAATGGCTGGGTCTGTGCTGCCGCTTGAGGAAAGGAACTGATTTATGTGCCCTGCCATGTCTGGGCAGGCAACCCATCAGAGGTGGTGTCAGTTAAATCAGAGAAGGGTTTCCCTGTCAGAAGCCTGCAGAGGCTCTAAAAGGCTTTGCACTGTAAGAGGCTCTGTGGGGGCACTCAGCTGCTCCCAGTCCAACCCCAGAAAAAGCTTTCAGTAAGCTCAGCCTGGATGGTCCATTGCACTCAAGACCAGAATAAAGATGCAGAACGAGTATCAAGCAGATGATACATATTTTTGACATCTCTTTCCTTTGTCTTTTCCGCTTGACAGAAATCCAAAGATGACGTGAGCAACTTCGATCCAGATTTTATAAAAGAGGAGCCCATTCTGACTCCCATTGAAGAAGGAATTCTTCCAATGATAAACCAAGATGAATTTAGAAACTTTTCATTCACAAGCCCAGAACTGCAGCAATAGCTACGGCTCTGGGGAAGGGCTGCTGAGAGGACTGGGGGGAAATGAAATGAAAACCAAGTTTACCAGAAATTTCCTTCTCAAGGAGTAATAGTGCACTGACTTTATGCGATACAGCAGCACCACTGTCAACATTACGTTAATGTGAAATTGAAACCTTCCTGTGTTTGTAGGGTTTATGCAGCTCGTGGATCAAATATTGACAGAGGTGGAACAAACATGATATTGTAAATAGCTGATGCAGACAGAGAATTGAATGCTGAGCTAGTTGGCTCAGCCTGAATGTCACCACTTGCAGTGGATTCAAGGAGTCGGCATGAGCATGAAACAAGTGTCTTGCAGCTCTGAGCCAAACAGACTTGTTACAATTCTGATTGTTTGCAAGACTATTTTGAGGGGTCCCAGCACTGTCCGGCGTTTTGGAGCCGTGATCCAGCATCCCATGGCCTGACTGAACCAGATGTTCCTACTGACTTTACCTGTTTCTGCAGTATTTATTTCTTTCCGAAGGACAAGTGGCTCTCTTTGCCACTGTTTGGGTTTCCATGTGAAATCTTTCATTGTGCTGACTAGAAGAAGGAAAAAAACAAATGCCCTGTGCCCCACACAGATTCTTCCAAATCAAAGGGAAGTCATGTGCTCGTAGTGTTTTACTGTTTGTGCGATATGAAAAGTTTTAGTGTTTGCATTCTGTGAAATGCCTTTTTACATCATGCATCTTCAATGCTCCTTTCTTTGCCTCCCAGCTGTTTTCAACTGTAACGTAACTTGTAAAATCTTACTGTTTGTTTAGGCCCATTCTATTTAATTTGCTATACAGAGCCCCTTTTGTGGGTTTAGTGCCTCATTAAAATTTTGATCCAAAGAAGTAGCACTTAAATTATTTGTAGCGTTATTGCGATGGGAGCTGCAGAGCTGGCAAACTGCTTGAAAGCAGGGTTGTCGACCAACAGGTAACACAAAAGGACAACTTTCTCCCATGAGAACGATAAACCTTATCTAAGAAACAGGGTGACTTGGTTTGGTTTGGATTTAAGGGCTTATTACTCACAGGGCACTTCTTATCAGCTGCAGCCTCAAGCCTCTGCCACAGGCAGACTGAGTCAATTTTTCAGTGCAGTTTGTAGAAACCAGACACTCTAGGAGATAGTTCTGTGCTTTCCCTGCTCTTCTAGAAGTTGGATGGTTTTTCTGTAGGTTCTTGGCACACCTTTGTACTCCTTGCTGGGCTTTAAGCTGTATGTCAGGATTATAGCCTCTTCCTTGGGCAGATATACTGGAGGAGGGGAAGGATTTCTAACTTCTTGCAAAATCATGTTTGTATAGGGCTAGTCACATGCTTTAACTTGAGAGAAGGGTGAGGTGCAGCAGAGGGGGACAGGCCTTGCACCACTGCAACTGTGGAGGTGACATAGGGGAGCAGAAGCCTTTGTCAAAGGAAATTATACAGGTACAACCCCCGTTACAGCACAGACCCACCGATATGTACGTGCTCATCTGCTGTGAGACCAAGTTAGAAATAAGAAATCAAAGCTGAGCTCTACATATGAGTGTTACCTCTTCCCACCCAAACCCTCTCTACTTGACTGAGTCCCTTTTACTTCTACCCCTAAACCATCCGCTGAACTGTTTGACAGGTGGGGCCAGAGGTTCAGTTACCCTTGGACTCTTCTTGCCTTTCTGCTTGTGTGTTGTACCAGTTCTCCCTCTTTCTTTCCTGCATCTCCTCTTTCATGTAAGCACAGCTTTATCCTCTGGTCTTCCCTCCCTCCCATTGGCATCTTCTGGCCACATTGCAGCCAGCCTGCCTCTCGCCCCTTTGCTGGTCTATAGATACCCAGCTCCTTCAAAGTGGGGCAAGAGAGGAAGAAAGACAGGTTGTATACTCTAAGTGGGAGAAGGAAGAGTGGATATCCAGAAAAATGATCCAAGAACCAGTTGTGCAGGCCAGCTTGAATTGCTTTCCCATATAGGAAGAAACGGTACGGGGATGAGGGGGGCACTGTGGCATCTTATTCACGTGTGAATTAAGCATAGCGTTCACCTGTCTGGTGCAGACATGACCCTAGGCAACTCCTCACTCGGTTTCCCACTCAGTTTCCCGGCATTATGGCTGCAGCAGCGCTCGCTTGGCAAGGGGTAAGCGCAGCTAAGCTGGCCACTGAGAGTGGGAGCACCAAAACTTTCTATGAATTTTGTGTTGGCAGCTTTTTGACTCTCCCACTGTTGAGGATTATAAATGACCTCTCCTTCCCTGGAGATCAGTGCAGGAGAATAGTAAGTGATACACTTTTTTGCCAGCGTGTTGGCATCATCCCAGGGTTTCATTGGTTGTGTTTTTTCTTGGGGCTCTGGAGACCTTCTGGGCTGATTCTAGTTGTCTTCAACATCAAAATGTGATCCTGCCTCTATGGCCCCAGGATCCGAGCAGCTTTGCTTACACCACTGACAGTACGAAGAATGTGGACTATTCACCTTTGGAGACTTTTATTGGTGTAGCAATAGCCGCCCATCTGTGTCCTGAAAGCTTGGGGAATGGAAACTAAGACACCTCTGTAGGTGCTCTGTTAGGGTTTTTGTGAACTGTAAATCAGAAAGCTTGTAGATCTCTGGAAGATGTAAAAGGGTGTCTAAGGCCACCCTGGGGAGCAGGAAAAGCTCCTGCCCTGGCCAGCCAGTACCTGCTTTGGCCCAGGGCTTGTTGGCTTGTTGGGGCAGGGATCAAATATCAAAGGGAAATTCATCCCCAGCTTCACTTTTCATTGATTTCAGATCTGTGTTTGGACTAGAAGCCTAATGTTCTGCTATAAAGTAATTGCCTTGATTTTCACAATTTCACCTGGATCTTGCTTCATAATTTAGGGCAGCTCTTCCCCTCCATTGCCTGCCTGGAACTCACATGTCTACGTAATGATTTCAGCCACTGCAGTCAGCAGATCCTGAGTCAGCCACGTTTGGCCAAGATCCCTGAACTCTCCCATACTTTTTATGAGGAGCTGCCATTTTGATCATGTTCCCTCCAGACTCTGTCGGCAGCATGGATGAAGATGAGCTCAATAAAAAGTATCTGTGCAACAGCTTTGCTTTTGAAAAAGCTGAATTAATGTTTATGCTGCCATTGAATATATAAAGAAATATTGATCTTTTTTTTTAAAACAAAGCAGGGATAAAAAAAAAAGAAAGAGTTTTTCCATGAGTTAGCCTGCCATCTCTTTTGGCTTCATTGTTTGTCTGAGTGGATGCAAGATGGTTTTAGTCTATTAATTTGGTCCTGGCTTTAGGAGTATATAAAGCTGGCAGCCACAGGTTTGTAAGGTTTAAAGCATAAAATGCTTGCATTTGCTCCAGTGTGAAAACTGGCAATAGAGCAAATTATAGTTAGCTCCCTTTGCGCTGCTTTTAGTGCTTGCATGAAAAGGGAAGGTCCCTTTGATGTCTCTAAATTTGTGTTCTGTACAATCCTTTCATTTTCAAAGAGGTTCATGAAATTTAGCTATAAAATTCAGTGGCCTACATCTCATTCAAGGCCTTTGAAAGTTGAGGGTAAGAAGCAGATGGGCTAGAATGAATAGATGAAAATCATCTCACATCTACACGGGCTGGCTGTGCTGCTAAAGACATCATTTTTAATACCACTGCTTGATAAGCAATGAAAAAAAAATCTCACAGACTCCAAGTGCCTGAGGGATTTTGTTAAAATGTTAAAAATGCAATTCTAACTGCTGGATGAAGATGCTTTGAATGTATTCTCAAAGACTGGCACAGGTTCCTTACTCCTTGTGAAGTCCTAAATGGTTTGCAACAGTATTTTCCCTTGAAGCTGTGTGCTCCTCCTGCAGAAGTTGCTGTTTCTCCAGTTGGATATGAGAGAGGCTCCAGTGGCTGTGGTATGAGGGACTTGATTAGCAATACCCAGAGCCAGGAGAAGTGAAGAGGAAAACGTGTCTGGGATCATCTGCTCTGTCCCTTGGCCAGAAAGTAGAGAGTCGTTCGCTGCTGCCTGTTCTCTGTTGGTTTGTTCAGCTGTTCAAGTGTGTGGTCAGGAGGCTTCTGCTCCTCCCCAGGGAGACCATTTCACAGCTTTTACAACTCTTGCTGTTAAGTAAATTTCCTGATATTTGGAAATGATGTGAATGAGATGAAAATCTGTCTTATCATGCCATTAGGATTCTCATTGGAAGCTGCAAGTCAGGGTTTGTATTACTAAATATATACAGGGCTGCCAAACCGAAGCATTCAAAAATGATGAGTCAGGTTGTCTGAAAATCATGGCTCACTCAGAAATCAAGAGCTTTCCAAAATAATAAATGTCAAAGTCTTCTTCTTTTTGGTTCTTTTTTTTTTTTTTAACATCTGGATTATGAATATTTTGGATTCTGACTTGCACTTCTTCTCCACATCAATAGTAGCTGGAATGTCATGTAATTATAATTCTTTTAGATGAAAGCTGGGGTCCATGAATTGATGTGAAGCCAGCCATTGGAGCTTGGAGGAAAATGCCAAACACCAAGAGATGGGTGATAAAACTGTGAGAACAGAGGGCATGGGTTTTATGTATTTTTCCACCTCTTCCTGTTCTTTATGTATAGTCACCACAGTGCGGTCCCTTGCCTCCCTGTCTCAAAACCCACATAACAGGGCATGCAGCATACAGGAGGCACAGGAGCGAAAAAAGAGAAGAGGAAGGCTGCGGAAGGCGTTTACATGCTGTCCAGTTGCTGCGCGTGGGGCTTGTTCAGCAGCATTTCTGAACTTGTGCATCAGTCCTTGCACAAGCGTGTCATCTTTCGCCTCCTGCGGCCAGTGCTGCCCTTCCCCACCCGCCCCGCTGCCCGTCCTGCCTTCCCCTGGGCACAGCACTCTGCATCGCTCCTCGGGCTGTGTCGCCTGCAAGTGTCCTGCTGATGGAGCCAAGCCTGTAGGAAGAACAGGAGGTTAAAAAGCACGGAGGAAGGATAAGCTGTGTTGGCGGTTGGCTACCTGGGTGTCATCTGGTCCCGAACAAGGTGGTGGGGATTCTGGTACAGCCAGTGTCCCAGTGATGTTTATATATGACTGGAAGCTATGGGAGAAGGCCAGGCTATCTCCCCTCTCATGCCTTATATTAGAAGCTAGGAAAGAGAGGGGACAGGAGGGTGTCCTCTAAAAAATGGGGTCACAATTCTGGGCTGTGACCAAGAGGGTGGAGTATATTTTAGAAGTACCTAAGGACACTTGTAGGCAACTAGTGAAGACATGCGAGAAAGTCACCCTTTCATCTCTGCCCACATCCACGCTGGGGAAGGCAGATGCCTTTGCCTCGATGAGAGTGGTTTGATCGAGGAGACTTGGGGACCACAGATCTTGGCGATGGTGGGAGTTAGAAGCCGTTGTGGCAAAAGGCTGCCAGGCAGAATTGCCAAGGAACATCCCGAAACCCTTTCATCCCAAGAAGGAAGCTTGAAATGAGCTTGGGTCAGACAGAGGCTTCGCTGCGTGGGCTCCCACAGGTAACATGTCAGTGTGAAGGTTTTAGCCCTGAAACAGTTTTAACTTGCCTGTGGTGTCAGCTCTCCTGCTTCAGCTCCGAGCTCCCACGGCTGTTGTTGGCAACAGGTCTTATAAAAGTGGAGATGAGAGACTTTAGCAGTGAGTTCAGGATTGCTCAAAACTAG